AGCCCAGCAGGTCGAGGCTGCAGTGGCCGGGAGCAGCCACTGCACTCCAGTCTGGACTACAGAGTGAGACTCCAACTAAAAAAATAAATAAATAAATAAATAAAATAATGGGTTAGCCGGGTGTGGTAATGCCACCTGTAGTTCCAGCTGCTTGGAAGGCTGGAGCAGAAGGATCGCTAGAGTCCAGCAGGTTAACACTGGGGTGGCATGAGTGTGCCACTGTACTCCAGCCTGGGTGACGAAGTGAAACTCCAACTCAAAAATAAAAATAAAAATAATGGGTGCGACCAGACTCGGTGGCTCAGTCTGTAATCCCAGCACTTTGGGAGGCTGAGGCGAGTAGATTGCCTGAGCCTGCGGGTTTGACATCAGCCCAGGCAACTTGGCGAGACCTCGTCTCTACAATAAATGAAAAAATTAACCGGGTGTGGTAATATGCACCTGTAGTTCCAGCTACTTGGAAGGCTGAGGAGGAGGGCTTGCCGGAGCCCAGCAGGTCAACACTGGGGTGGGTGTGAGTGTGCCACTGCACTCTAGCCTGGGTGACAGAATGAGACTCCAACTCAAAAAATTATAATAATAATAGATGCACATCTCAGACATTTTAAGTTATCCTAAAACCATCTGTGCATTCATGTTCTGGTCATCTGATATTGACCAAGATTTTCTTTGAGTTGGAGTCCTGTATTCTGTACCTTTTTTTTTTCTGTTCTCTTTCTTTTGTTTTTTTCTTTTTTAACAGCCATGCTGCTTCATCTGCAGTTTCCAGTTGGGTTTCTCTAAACTGAACAAGAGGTAACATACTTGTAAAGCTATTCTGAATGTAGAATCTAGGTTTGAGAAATTTTTAAAATGTTATGCAGTGGTAGCTTTCCATAATTTGATATCTCTTTTAGCATCTTGCCTTTGAATCTCTAATGCATTCAACCTTTATGTTCATATAAGTAACCATATCACTACCATTTCATAGTTGGAGCAATATGTAATTAAATTGTGCAATTATAGTAATAAGTATAACTGGCATGCAGAGGTTTGAAAACCAACACGGTTGCTTCTTGCTGAATGTAGAGATCACTGTGGGAAGCAAATGCATGTGTAAACAGGAAATGGCTTCCTCTTCCATCCTAAGAGTATTTGTCCTTAGGGATTTGACATTCACTCAAATCTTAAATTGAACATTTTGAACCCTCTTTAGTGGACCTAAATTTAGAGGGGAGAAGTAAATAAAAAGAGTTTATTCAACAGGGCATTGTGGCTCATGCCTATAATCCCAGCACTTTAGGAGGCTGGGGCAGGAGGACTGCTTGAGCCCAGGAGTTTAATACCAGTCTGGGCAACATAGTGAGACCCTGTCTCTCCAAAAGAATCAGAAAATTAGCTGGGTGTGGTGGTGCACTCCTGTAGTTCCATCTACTTGGGAGGCGAGGCAGGAGGATCGCCTGAACCCAGGAGTTTGAGGCTGTGGTGAGCCGAAATTGTTCCATTGCTTTTTTCTTTTCTTTTTTCTTTTTTTTTGATTCGGTGTCTCACTCTGTCATCCAGGCTGGAGTGCAGTGGCACACTCATGGCCACTGCAGTCTTGACCTGCTGGGATCGGGTGATCTTTCCACCTTAGCCTTCCAAGTAGCTGGAACCACAGGCATGCACCATCACACCCGGCTAATTTTTTGATCTATTATAGAGACAAGGTCTCACCATGCTGCTCAGGCTGGTTTCGAACCCCTAGGCTCAAGCAGTCCTTTCACCTCCCCCCCCAAAACGCTAGAATTACAAGCATGAGCCACTGTACCCGGCCAGTTTATTCATTCTTAATCTAGGAAGTCATCTTCCATGTCCTTGTTTTTTGTGTGTTTCACTTGGACTGGTTTGAGCTCACATCTTCTTTATGTCTTCTGGAATTATTCTTACCTTTCAGAACAAAAAAGATCATTTTTTGTTTTGGGGATGCTTGGAGACTGGTTGATTTGTTGCTATTGAACAGTGTTTTTGGTTCAAATGCCATAAGTTATTTAACATTCTAATTTCAACTTAGTTTTCAAATTTTGCCTAAAGAATTTAACCTTTAATCTGGTACTCTCTAACCTGAGACTTTAAGAAATAGGCTATTAGCCGGGCTCGGTGACTCAGCCTGTCATCCCGGGCCTTGGGAGGCTGAGGTGAGTGGATTGCCTGAGCTTGCTGGTTCGAGACCCGCCTGGGCAACTTGGTGAGACTTCATCTCTATAATAAATAAATAAATAATTAGCCGGGTGTGGTAGTGCGTGCCTGTAGTTCCAGCTACTTGGGAGGCTGAGGCAGAAGGATCGCCGGAGCCCAGCAGGTCAAGGCTGCGGTGGCTGGGAGCGGCCACTGCACTCCAGTCTGGGTGACAGAGTGAGACTCCAACTCAAAAATAAATAAATAAATAAAAAAGCTGAGTTTTTTTTCCAACTCTAGGTTTCATCTCTAGATTAGTAGTGAGTTATAAACTCAATTTGTGTAATGACCAATGTTTTTAAATGCACCAGTAATATTACAGTATCCAATGTTGTATCACTATATATACATTGCATATATCACTGTGGCTTATAGTCAGAGAAGTTTGATGATCTTCGCTTTAATATGTCTGCTAACTGGGCACGGTGGCTTACGCCTATAATCCCAGCACTTGCGGAGACAAGAGGATTGCCTAAGCCCAGGGTTTGAAACCAACCTGGGCAACTTGGTGAGATTTCATCTCTACAGTAAATCAAAAAAATTGACGGGGCATGGTAGCTTGCACCTGTAGTTCCAGCTACTTGGAAGGCTGAGGTGAAAGGATCGCCTGGGCCCAGCAAGTCGAGGCTGTAGTGGCCATGAGCGTGCCACTGCACTCCAGCCTAGATGACAGTGATTCTCTAACTCAAAAAAAAAGTGTCTGCTGGAATGTAAGCTCCTAAAAGTCAGCACCTCTCTGTCTTGTTTACTGCTCTCTCCAATGCCTAGGTTAGAATTATTTTTTTCCCAAATGTCTTAATAGTTCTTTTTTACCCTGCCAACCCCAATTCCCAATTAAAATATTGGTCTAACACATAATACATGATTGAGAAATACTACATGTATAAGGAACCTGAAGCAGCGAGCAAGCGTAATTTCTAGACGAAAACTTCCCAGGAGAGTTTGGCAAACGTTACATGATCTCATCTTTTTGGAATATGTTGTTTTACTTTTGTTAAGGACACCCAGATCTTAGTGTTTCTTAATAACTCCTTTAACTATCTCAGAAAGAAAGAACTACTCATGATATTGTGAGTATAGGGAGTGCTTCAGGCCCATACATGGCATTTCCCGTAGCATTTTCCTTGAGATCTGTCCTGCACCCCAGGAGATGCTGTAGCATAATTTTAGGTCAACTGATATACTATGTCGGTCTGAACTCTTTGCATCCACATTGGGGTTACATTTCATACTTGATACAGAGAGAACCTTCTAATAGTTTGTCTTCAAGCTTTCCAGCTTGCTTTCTACCAGTGAGGGGTAGGGCTCATGCTGGAAGCCAGAGTCCTCCATGACCTCCTCCTCTCCTCATAGCTAACCAAGCTTGATTAAATATGTCCATGATCTTTCAGTTCCTCTCCGTCTTCCTTGCTACCGTTCTAGTCCAAACCATGGTCATTGCCCACCTGAGTGACAGCAGTTGCCCCCTCATTGAACTACCCACATTGTTTACATTGCCTCGTTTCCCAATCCAGTTTCACAGAGCAGGCAATGACTTGCTTAAATGAAATTATGCGCTGGGCGCAGTGGCTCACACCTGTAATCCCAGCCCTTCGGGAGGCCAAGGTGAGAGGTTTGCTTGAGCACAGGAGTTTGAGACCACCCTGGGCACCATAGTGAGACCCTGTCTCAAAAATAAAAAAAGGAAATATGATGAGATTGTCCATCACTACTCCTTGCTTCAGTGACTTCCACTGCTTTGGAGACAGAGCCCACTGTTCTCAGGAGAGTTGGTGTTGCCTGGTGTCTTTTAGCCATCCCCTCTGACCTACAGGGCCCTAAACACTTTGTACTTCGTTCAGTTCCAGGACGGTGCTGAGTCCTTCCTGCTCCCAGGCTCTCTTCTCCCTGCCTGGAATGCTACCTCCCCCACCCTTCCCCCACAAAACTCCTGTCTATCTGAGTCTTGGTATAAATGTCATATTTTTTCCCAAGGGAGCTGCCCTGAAACTTATTTCAGTCTTGTTATTATACAGTCTAATTATATACTCTGTTTTTCCATTGTAAAATGTATCAAATATTACAAGCAAGGATTTGTATAATCATTATCTGTGTAAAGTGTTCCCCACCCCATGGATGATAAATCCCATGAGAACAGAGATTAGGCGTGTCTTGTTTTACTTTGTACTGGCAACCCTTAGCATAGGGAACATTATACGTCCTTAGTACTTATGGAATGAAGAATGAAAGAATTGTTAAAGTTATTGCCCAATGACAGATAAAGCATCAGCAAAAAAGGTTTAAGAACACTGAATTCATTTATTTTTACAAATATGTAATTACTTTCTTTGATTGAAGCATTATGTTGGGGGTAATTATAAAGATTCATCTGTGTGTTTGACTCTAAAAAAGTGTAACCTAAGGATGCATAGATACCTCATAGGCTGTTAGAATGAAATTTCAAGTTTGGTGGGGATTAGGTCATATTTAAAGGTACTACAAACAAGAAATCTGTTGTTTGTGTGATAATTTACATCATTGTAAATATTACCATCAACATCAGTAGATAATAATACTCAGGCATCATTGTTCAGTCACCTTTAGGCAACATAAAGCTTGCTTGCTTGAACTTAGATAGGGATGGTCTCTCAAGCATGGTATTCAAAATGGTTAAATAGCCTAGTGATAAATTCAGGGCTAACTAACAGAGACTTGTTTGAAAAGAAAAAGCATTAATGGTGTTTTAGTAAGGAAAAGTATTTTCATTTTTTGTTTTTGTTTTTTGAGTCAGAGACTCACTCCGTTGCCCAGGCTGGAGTGCAATGGCTCACAGCCACCACAGCTTCTACCTGCTGGACTCAAGCAATCCCTCCGCCTCAGCTTTCCAAGTAGCTGGAACCATAAGCATGTGCCACCACACCCGGCTAATTTTTTTGATTTATTGTAGAGACGAGGTCTTGCCAAGTTGCCCAGACTGGTCTTGAATCCCTGGACTCAGGCAATCCTCTTGCCTCAGCCTCCCAAAGTGCTAGGATTACAGGCATAAGCTACCACACCCGGCTTGGTTTTGTTTTGTTTGAGTCAGGGGCTCACTCTGTCACCCAGGCTGGAGTTCAGTAAACACATCCATGGCTCACTACAGCCTCAACCTCCTGGGCTCAGGCAATCCTTCTACCTCAGCCTCTCGGGTAGCTGGAACTACAGGTGTGCACCACCATACCTGGCTAATGTTTTGATTTTTTGTAGAAAGTAGGTCTCACTGTGTTGCCTAGGCTGGTCTCGAACTCCTGGGCTCAAGCAATTCTCCCACCTTAGCCTCCCTTTAAAGTGCTAGGATTACACGTATGAGCCACTGCGCCTTTACAGTATTACAGTTTCAGTAACTAAAAAAACTAAGTATAGTTTTAGGTTATAAAAAGTATGAGAAGTTTGGGGTTTCAAGGTTTAGAAGACAGAGGCATGGAGGCAACGAAGCACTTAGTTGGCAAATCACTAAATGCCTAAAGGAAGTGCCTGTGGCTGGTTCTAAATTGGTAAGCTAAGGTAGAGCTTTCCAAGTTTTATGTGTGTATGAGTCACCCAGGGAGCAAATAAAACCCCCATTCGGATGCATTAGTTCTGTGGTGTGACCTAGAGTGCATTTCTAACAGGCTCCCAGGGATGCTGTGCTACTTGCATAAGACTTGGGGGCATTTGGGGAGATTCATGTGTGATTTCTATACATCTCATCTTACTGAGGCATTGATTCTTGACCTTTCTGACATACTGCCTGGTGCTATGCTAGTAAGTATAAACTCTGCCCTTAACTGGCTTTTATTCCAATGGAGGACTGTTACTTTGTTTTCCTTTACTTACCTGTTTATTTAATGCTGTACACATAAGCAGATTGACTATTTTAAAACATTGCTTTCCCTTGCTGCTTTAGAATCAAAAAAAACCTGAAAATGATGATGATGTGGAAATTAAGAAGCAGTTATCCAAGTATGAATCTCAGCTTTCAACAAATGAGGAAAAAGTCGATACAGATGATCGTAAGTCCTTATGAGTAAACAGTGGGCAGGAGGGGTTCATTACTCTGTGATTTGCTGGCAACCTAGCCTCTCTGGAAGAGATGGGACTGTGTCCTTTTGTTTTGGTTTCTGGTTTTTGGGTTTTTTTTGTTAAGTCAGAATCTCACTCTGTCACCCAGGCTGGAATGCAGTGGCACACTCACGGCCACCACAGCCTTGACGTGCTGGGCTCATGTGTTCTTTCTACCTCAGCCTTCCAAGTAACTGAAACCACAGATGTGCGCCACCACGCCCGGCTAATTTTTCTGATTTATTGTTGAGACAAGGTCTTGCCAAGTTACCTAGGCTGGTCTCAAACCCCTGCACTCAGGCAATCCTCTCACCTTTGCCTCCTAAAGTGCTGGGATTACAGGCATGAACCACCGTGCCTGGCCTTTTTTTTTTTTAATATCTCAAACTTTAAAAAAAAATTTCCAGTTAGTGAGTTGTTTTTATGTATATTTACATTTCTTTTTTCTATCATTTTTTATTTTGAGGTAAATTCATATTTGGGGGAAGTTTCCAGAATAGTAGAGAGAATTGCTGTTTCCCCTTCACCTGGATTCCCTGGCATTTTACCACACATTTACTTCTCATTCTCTCTCTTTATCTATCACTGTCTACATACACTCATACATTTTTTTCCTAAACCATTTGAGAGTAAGTTATGGATATGATGCTTCTCTGACCCTAAATACTTCAGTGTGTGTTTGCTAAGAGAAAGGACATGCTCAAATGTAACCACAGTATAACTATCCAAGTCAGGAAATGGACATTGACATGATGCCATTCTCTAGTCTACAGACCTTATTCTTTTTTCCCCCAAATGTCCTACTAGTTCCTTTTTACCCTGCCAGCCCTCCAATTCTTACCAAAATCCTGGTCCAGAGCTCAATACACAATCAAATGTTGCATTTCACTTGCCTCTCATTTGGAGTTTCTTTAATATTTTTTCATGATTAGATTGAGCCATTTTGGCAGGAATGCCACAAGGTGATACTATGTCTGTTTCAGTGACATGGTGTTCTTTCACTTATTGGTGGTGGTAATTTTGACCACTTGCTAAGGTTGTGTAACCATGTTTCTCTAGTTTTTCCTTTAACTTGACTGTTAGCTTGGCATTTTTTGGCGGACAGACTCAGTTCAGATTCAGATTTTCAACCAAACTCCTTGCCATGGCCTTCCAGGTCCTCCGCGCCCTCCCTTCTTTCCCACCGTTGGCCTCACCAGCCCTCCTTTCGCCCTCTGAGCACACAGGTTTGTCATCAGGCTTTGCACACACTGTTCCTTCTGCTTAAATATTCATCTCCCAGATCATCACATAAATTCCTCCTCCTGTTGTTCACACATTTTTTCCTTCGAGGGCTTCCCTGGTCACCCAGATGCAGCAGGTCTCTTAGTCACTCTCCACATTGCCCCTTCCTCATGTATACTTACCAGAGCCTCTAATTACCTTATTTATCTACACTTCTTGCTAAGTGGCTTCTCTCCATAAGAACATAAGCATCTTGAGGGCAGGGTCTTTGTCGTGCTCCAGTCTATCCCTGGTGCCTGCCAGAATCCCTGGTTCAGTGTCATGTGCAGTGGACAGCAGCTGACTGAGGGGCGGGAACAACTTGGTTATAGGTACTGTCTATTTGTCAGGCTTTCTGTCCACCTTGTGTTCTCCAACATACTGTTTTTCTCTAAAGACCAAGTACTTGCTTTCACTCCTCTTCCTGCATCTATCCCTCCTGAATGGACCACAGTGAAATGGGAGGAAACAGTGGCTCTGGAATTGGACCACAGTGTCAGGGATGCTCCTAAGAGAACTGATAACAGCATTCACAACAAAGAAAAACAATCTTATTTCAAAATTTACTTTTTTTTTTGCACAGATAATAAATGTTTCTGGATAAATTTTTAAATATCTAACATTTTTCTAAAATAAGCATATGCTTTTTTTTTTTTTTTTTTTGAGTTGGAGTCTCACTCACTCTGTCACCCAGGCTGGAGTGTGGTAGCACGCTTATGGCCACCTCAGCCTTGACCAGCTGGGCTTAGGCGTTCCTTTCACCTCAGCCTTCCAAGTAGCTGGAACTACAGACTCACACCACCACGCCTGGCTAGTTTTTGTGATTTATTGTAGAGAGGAGGTCTCACCAAGTTGCTCAGGCTGGTCTCGAACCCCCTGCTCAGGCAATCCTCTAGCCTCAGCCTCCCAAAGCTAGGATTACAGGCTGAGCCACTGTGCTTGACCAGCTTGTGCTTTTATGATTAGAAGTCATCTTTTAAAAGGTAGGGAGGCAGCCGGGCTCGGTGGCTCAGCCTGTAATCCCGCGCCTTTGGGAGGCTGAGGTGAGTGGATGGCCTGAGCCCGCGGGTTCGAGACCCGCCTGGGCAGCGAGACCTCATCTCTACAATAAATCAAAAAATCAGCCGGGCATGGTGGCACATGCCTGTAATTCCGGCTACTCGGAAGGCTGAGGCGGAAGGATCGCCGGAGCCCAGCAGGCCGAGGCTGCGGTGGCCGGGAGCGGCCACTGCACTCCAGTCTGGGCGACAGAGTGAGACTCCAACTCAAAAAAAAAAAAAAATAAATAAATAAATAAATAAATAAAAGGTAGGGAGGCAAAAGAACTTATGGAAGAATCTGGCAGATAGTTATTAGAGGTTAACATTTAAAGTCCATTCTTAATATTTGAGACTAATTCCATTTCTGAAATCCATCAATCAATGTTTTTCATCAATAGTACTCTAATATTTGGAGGAAGGAAGGGAGAAAAAGTACTCTAATATTTGGCTCTGCAGGTGTAAGTTACCATGTTTTAGGATCTTTTGTAAGCTTTGTCAGTGGTACTGTCTGAAATGTGCCCAGGTACATTAACAAAACCTCCTGACTTTGTCCCACTGTCCTTGATGTTTATCCCTAGGACCTGAGGGCTATCTGCGAGCAGACTCCCAAGAGCCCTCCCACTTTGATTCTCAGCAGCCAACGGTCTTGGAAGAAGAAGAGGTCATGATAGCTCATGCTCACCCCCAAGAAGTCTACAATGAATATGTTCCCAGAGGGTGCAAGAACAAATGCCACTCACACTTCCATGATACACTTGGCCAGTCAGATGATCTCATTCACCATCATCATGACTACCATCACATTCTCCACCACCACCACCACCAGAACCACCACCCGCACAGTCACAGCCAGCGCTACTCTCGGGAGGAGCTAAAGGATGCTGGCATTGCCACGCTGGCCTGGATGGTGATCATGGGCGACGGCCTGCACAATTTCAGCGATGGCCTTGCAATTGGTATACACACATGCATTTGCTCCCTGTTGGCTGACTCTGGAAATGTCACGTTAAACACCCAGTCAGATGTTAACGAAAACTAGGCTAGCTTAGAAGATGATATGAGTGACTTCCAAGACTATCAGAGTGTTATTTCTTCTATTACTGTTTTGGCAATGAAATAATAAATGTTAGATGTGATTATATACTAGGAACTGTGCTAAGCCCATTACCTAAATTCTAACTATCAGAAGTTCTTCTTAATTTGCAAGTCTTAAGATCAGGCTTTAACTTACATGGAGTATGTGTAAGTTTTTTTCCCCCATACATTAAATTGTCCTTATCAGTAATATAAACAATATTTACTAGGGTAAAATTGCCTTTTCCATCATCTTCTATGCTAAAAGAATCTTCATACATCTAAAAAGCCTGGTTACCAATCTTCAAAGAAGAATTATCACAATTATCACAGCACCCTAAATTGTTGTACCTCAATTGTAAAATAGTAGATACTTACAAATCTCAGTAATTTAAAGCTAGAAGGAACCATGGAAGCAATTCAGAATTAGACAGCTGAGGCCTAGACAGGTGGACCCACTTTCCCAGGTTGGCAGTGCTGTTTCATAGCCAGGCTGAGACGAGCCCTGGCCTTCTCTTTGGGAGCTGAGTATACTTCCTCCCTTACTGTATAATGCACGACGTAAACAGAGGGGGAATGTACAGGAGCACGGTCAGGGCTTATAATTGTTTGTATAACATGTCAGTTTTTTAAAGAGGAGGGAGCAATTCATCCTAGAGTCTCTATTAGTGAAATAACAAGTGTAAACAAGCCCAATTACATAGTAAATTCCTCTGTGGCAAGTGAAACATCTATACTCTTGGCAACAGAGTTTTTTCTAAACCTTTTAAACAGTTTTTGTTCTTGAATAAGTGGGGGGGTTTTATTTGGTTTTTTTGTTTGTTTTCAGTTGGAGTCTCACTTTATCATACAGGCTGGAATACAGTGGCACGCTGCTCACGGCCATTGCAGCCTTGGCCTGCTAGACTCAGATGATCATTCCATCTTACCCTTCCAAGTAGCTGGACCCAAAGGCATGTGCCACCACGCCAAGCTAATTTTTTGATTTATTTTAGAAACGAGGGCTCGCCAAGTTGCCCAGGCTGGTCTCAAACCTGTGAGCTCAGACGGGCTCGGTGGCTCAGCCTGTAATCCTGCGCTTTGGGAGGCTGAGGTGAGTGGATTGCCTGAGCCTGCAGATTCGAGACCTCATCTCTACAATAAATCAAACAATCAGCCGGGCGTGGTAGCACATGCCTGTAATTCCAG